TAAGAAAGCATTTATTATGCACCTAATGAGAAAGCCTAATGCAATAAGAATACAAAGCAGAAGACAGGCTTTTGACTTTGAGAATTCTACTACCCATCTAAGGCAAAAAGCCGTTAAATCCTTGAGGGCAGGAATCATGCCTGATCTGTTTATTAATCTAACAGATATCGCTGTGTGCCTAGTATTTGCCAGGCCTGGGACCCGTGAGGTATTATTTCAGTACCCAGAACGGTAGTAGACACATAGTAGGGACTCAGAAAAAATACTTGCGGGTTGGCTGTTAGACAAGAAGCTTTTGGAGAACAAGTGTAAGGCAGCACATAACCCAGCGTGGGAATGCATCCTGCCTGCTGCATGGTAATTTAGCATCTTCAGAGTTCGGGAGACGTCCAAGAGGGACGAGAGCAATTTGCAAAGACGTCTCCATTTCCACCTAGATCTGTGGGGTCAGAAGAAGAGGTGCTGGCTATGAGCTCATGTTAATTTGGGTTTTGCTCTAAATTGGTTGTCTTTAAAAACAGTGGCTACCTAGGGTGGCAACAGTGCCCACATGGAGGAGCACCAGACTGGGAACGTAGACCCTGAATTTTATTTCTAGCCATATAATACATGAAGTAAAGGCACAAAATGATTCATGCTCACTATGCACAAATACCTTCCTCTGGCCCTTTCCCTCTTCTCCAGGTGTAATGTTACTATTACCAAAGACGTTCCCTAATGACTTCTCCAAAATGTTTGCTTTGTCCCAGGACATGACGCATTAAAAGAGGATGTGGAAGGTCTTGGAGTAAAGAACGTTCAGAGTTGGGATGTTCTTGTCCAGGTTCTAGGGAACATCTCTCTTTGCCTTGGGGACTTCAGAACTTGCATCAGTTGCAAAGGGCTGTAGAATTCAATTACCCAGGGCTCTATGGAGGGTCCAGGCCCCACCCTGAACCAGAGTCAACCCGCCTTACATTCCCATAGCCCCCTGTGTCTCCCTAATGTCAACACACATCGTGCTTTCTTGCAATTATGTGTTTGTTCTCTCTCCTTAATTAAGGGAAATAAAGGCAGTTAAGCTCAGTAAAGGCAGGGACTCCTTGCTTGTCTTTTTAATTGTTGCATCTTCAGTGCCATCATCACTGCATGATACCTGGTAACTGGTAACCACTCAACAAACTTATTAAATGAATGAACGAAAGGGAAGGACATCGTAGGCAGAGGCAACATGGGGAGCCAAGATAAAGAGGTGAGAAACTGTGGGCCATGAATACACGTGTGGGGAGTTGTGTAGCTTAAGTACTGAGTATGTGAGGGGAACAGCAGAAATAGAATGGATGAGGCTGCGCCGTGGAGGGTCTCAAGTGCAAGTTAAATCGTTTGGACTTTATAAGCAGTAGGAAGCCAGTGAAGGTCACAGATAAAGCAGTGGGGTATACTACCATTTTTATTTGACAGAATTTATTCATGGCATGGGCGGCTGCCTTTGCCCCTCCTAACACACTTCCTGCCAAGAAATGGATAATAATCTACAAAACGTTTTATGTGCTGTACACCCAGAAAACTCAATCAGTGTCTAATCTACAAGTTTCTTTGGCTGAGTTTGTCGGGGGTCCAAAGGGACCCAGAGGTGTTGGGAAACTGACTTCAGCCGGGGACCTTTCATATTATAAGCTGAGCAGCTGGTACATGATAGCAATGTTAAGTTTCTCTGACCTTGTTTGAGTCATCCAGGATGCAGCAAACGAGAGGTTTTTCACCCTATATACTGCTGCCAGGGCCCACGGGGTCTGCCCTAGCCCACACCTCCCCAGCTAGTTAGTTTCTCTTGTTCTCTCCCGATGAGGCATCCTAAGACTGTCTTTCTGATATTCTGCGACGTTCCTTTCTTGTACCTGTGTTTTACTTCTTCCAGGTGGGACTCCTTGGGCTACAAGTGAGGCAGTCAGCAGGCAAACCTCTTGGCAGACTAGACCAAAGCATCACATTCTTTGCCTTGAACTATTTATATATTTCCTTGGGGACTTGCAAGGAATGAGTGACAGAGTCAGAAGATCAAGGGGAAAATCTTCAGAAGTTGAGGAGAGTTTGGAAAACTTGCCCCAAATCCTGGAAGAATATAACATTTGTTTCTCTCTTTCTTTCTTTTTGATTGCCATTTCTCTTTCCTTCTGGCTTTCTCCCCTTCTTCTCTTCCATCTGTTTCTCTCTTCTTGGTAATGCACATCTCTCTACCTTCCACTTTCTCCTATTCTTGTCCTGCCCCACCACTTTCCTTGCTAGTCATGGCTGCCTTTTATTCAGTTCTTATATTCTGAGCACTGTGCTAAGTGCTTTTCACCTATCGCCTCATAATACTCTATGAGCTAAATGATAGTATATCCATTTCACAGGTGAGGAGGTTGAGACACAGATCCAGTAACTTCCCCAAGCTCAGCAGATATTCACAGGGATTTAAACTCCATTTAGCTAACCCCCAAATTAACTTCCCTTAATGGTTACAGGATCTCTTTTCTCCCATTTCCAACTCCCCCTTGTCTTTTCCCTCTTTTTGCTCCTCCTCTCTCCCCTTCTCTCCCTCCCTTCTCTCTGACACTCGCCACATCCTGGCCTTCACATGCGTGCTGATGACCCTGAAGGTGCTGAACACTGCACACGTGCCCAGAAGGGATCACAGACCATTCAGACTCTTATCTAATCAGTCATTTTCCTTTTGGACTAACGCGCCACAATTTTCCACTTTTGGAGGCGATGGAGGGGGCCCTTCATCATGTGAGGAAAAGGGCAAATGTCTGATCACAAACCAGAGGAAAGGGCTCAAGACTTGGAAGGGTCTTTGATATGGAAGGGAACAGAGATAAGGCCCTTTCCGCTTACTCATGGACTCTCTCATTCCCGGGGACGCTGTGTACTCTCAGGGTTGGGGAGTGGAGGGCTGGGAGAAGACAGAGCCGGGAGGCTGGTCTCTGTCAAGGTATCAACTCAGAAGCCAAAGCCTGGACCGTGAAATATGGAACCTCGCCCTGTCCCTCCTCATATGCATAAGGATAGGAACTGGGATAGGATAGGAATCAGGGGCACACTGGCAGCAAAGATGTGAAGGTTAAAGTTTGAACTTGACAACCTCTAAGGTCCCATCGTTATCAGAGGTTTTAAGATTCCAAGAAGAGAATATTTACCTTCAATTCCCACCCCCACCCCCACCCCCGCTTTTTTTTTGGTCATTCTGTTGATTAGGACTGGTTGATTAAAGGCTTAAGCCATGAGGACATTTATTGTTCATCAAGTAAGAATTCTGGAGGTAGAAGATTCAAGAGTTGATTCAGACGCCTCAGGGCACTGGTTGGCATTTCTGAGATTCTCTGGGAAGCTTCAGGCATCTTGACTCACACAAACTGTCCACAGGCAGGAAGTCGTGGGGGTGAAGAGGACTTCAAGTGAGGCTCTATTTACTGGGGATGGTAAAACATTTTCTAGAGCAATCCTTCCACATCAGACTCTCCCCACACCTCACAGACCAGAACTAACTGCAGTGGAGGCTGAGAAAGTGATAGCTGGCCTTCTCATCCTGCTTATGGGACACAGCAAGGAACAGGGGATTGGTTTGCCACCGGGTAGAAAACACCAGTGCCTGCCACCCCCTCCTTCATTCACTCAACTAAGATTCACTAAGTACCCACTCTGGGCCGGGTGATGATGGTACAGAGGACAAGAGAATTCCTGTTCTCAAGGAGCTCCTACTGGAAGAACACAGACAGGCAGAGGATCACAAAACAAGATGGCAAGTGCTGGGAGAGGACTGAGTGTCCCCAGGGCCACCACAGAGCTGAAGACGCTCAGCTTGAGGAAGCAGGGAGGGCTGGGAAAGCAATGACTGGGTTAAGTTTTGAAGGGTAAATGGGATGCAGCTAGGGGTGAGGGAGCATGTAGGAGGTGGCTGAGCGGAGAGCATTTGGGAACCTTCCAGGACTTGGCATGCTGGACACAACAAAGGCAACTGAAGGGGATAGGCAGGAAACGAGGCTGAAGAAGCATGCCAGGACCTGATGAGGGAAGGTTCTGTGTGGGACTTAAAGGTTTGGGGCGTTTATTCTGGATGTGTGGGTGAGCAGGTCTGTGTGTGGGAACCTTCTGTCTGCAGAAAGACAAGCCGAGCTGTACAGCTGGAATGGCTGCACTGCAGTGAAGTGTAGATCAGCACTGCCAGCTGCTAACCAGCTGGGGGAACCTGTGAAACCTTTGAATGTTTTTGTTTCCCACCTCCCGATAGAGTTGGCCCATGCTGGATGGCTCTGATCGTTACTGAAATAGAAATAGAAACAGAAAACGCTTCCTAAGGGGCCAAATTTGCCTCTCCCACCCTCACCTTTTTCTCTTCCACCTAGTTCTGGCCTCTGGAGTCAGAAATATATATATATATATTTTCCACCTGACAGCAGCTCAAACACATGGAACACGTGAATTATGATTTTCAGCGTATCACATACCTCATCTCATTTACCCCTCCAAGTCCTCTGGTGTAGCTCTTCCCATTTTACAGACAAGGAAACAGACTCAGTGAGGTAAATGTCCAGAGTCACATTTGCAGGCTCCTGTCCTGTGCTCTTTCCACTACTCCAGTGTTTCTCGGGTGAGGTCCTTGCACTGCCTGCATCAGAATAATCTAGGCTTCTTGCTGCAAGTCCAGATTCCTGGGGGCCATCCCAGACCTCCTGGAGTAGAATCTCTGGAGATAACAGCACAGAATCCACATTATAACACACATCTCAGGTGATTTCTAGATCCATTAAAGCGTGGGAATCATGCTCTAATCTTGCTATCATGACTGCTTTGTCTTCTCTTTCATTTTTGCTGCGGGTGGGGGAGGAGGAAGAGAGCTTTTTAGGTGAATCTGACTTCTAAGCTGCACTCTGTTAAGGAACGCATTGGTATGGGTCAGTGGAATCACAGAGCATGATTGGACCTTCCAGATGTTTGCAGAAAGCATCCCTCTATTTTTCTCTCTGTCCCGTTTGCAGGAGTCTTGGCGTCAAGATGGGTGACTGGAGCTTCCTGGGAGAGTTCCTGGAGGAAGCACACAAGCATTCCACGGTGATCGGTAAGGTCTGGCTCACCGTCCTCTTCATATTCCGCATGCTGGTGCTGGGCACGGCTGCCGAGTCCTCCTGGGGGGACGAGCAGGCTGATTTCCAGTGTGATACGATTCAGCCTGGTTGCGAGAACGTCTGCTATGACCAAGCCTTCCCCATCTCGCACATTCGCTATTGGGTGCTGCAGGTCATCTTCGTCTCCACACCCTCTCTAGTGTACTTGGGCCACGCCGTGCACACGGTGCGCATGCAGGAGAAGCGGAAGCTACGGGAGGGCGAGAGGGCCAAAGAGGCTCGGGGCGCTGCCTCTTACGAGTACCCAGTGGCCGAGAAGACAGAGCTGTCCTGCTGGGAAGAAGCGAATGGAAAGATTCCGCTCCGGGGCAGTCTGCTCAACACTTACGTCTGCAGCATCCTGATCCGCACCACCGTGGAGGTGGCCTTCATCGTGGGCCAGTACCTCCTCTATGGCATCTTCCTGGACACCCTGCACGTCTGCCGCAGGAGTCCCTGTCCCCATCCTGTCAACTGTTATGTGTCCCGGCCCACGGAGAAGAATGTCTTCATTGTCTTTATGCTGGCTGTGGCCGGACTGTCCCTTTTCCTCAGCCTTGTTGAACTCTACCACCTGGGCTGGAAAAAGATCAGACAGCGATTTGTCAAGTCACAGCAGGGCATGGATGAGTGCCAGCTTCCTGGTCCCTCTGCCCGCATAGTCAAGAGCTGCACACCACCCCCTGACTTCAATCAGTGCCTGGAGAATGGCCCTGGGGGGAAATTCTTCAATCCATTCAGTAACAAGATGGCCTCGCAGCAGAACACAGATAACCTGGCCACTGAGCAGGTGCGAGGCCAGGAGCAGATTCCTGGGGAGGGTTTCATTCATATCCGTTATGCCCAGAAGCCTGAGGTACCCAATGAAGGCTCCCCAGGTCACCGCCTCCCCCATGGCTATCAGGGTGACAAGCGCCGTCTCAGCAAGGCCAGCAGCAAGGCCAGGTCAGATGACCTATCAGTGTGACCCACCGGTGTGGCGGAACCAGGACCAGGTGGGAACAAAGGAGGCTCAGAGAGGGAAGGTGTGTCCCTTCTGACCCCATCTCTCTCATTCTCATCACTGCTCTACTCAGTTTTGGCCCTGGATCTCAATGGCATTGCTCATTTTTTCCAGAAGCTATGACCAGGTCTTTGTGGGTGCAGTAAGAGACATGGCTACCTACCCAGGCTCCTTCACCCTCCACTCAGAATCCTCAGTGAAGCCTTTCATATTACTCAGCGAATGGGATAGAGGAGGGGACGGGGACCATGGCAAATCTGACCTGGGAGGGACAGCCAGGGGGATAGGATGACTTTCTACATACCAGCCGCACACCAGATGGATTCTCTAAGCCCCTCTGGCGTCCTTGACCCGATCACCCTTCCTCCTGCAAGGAAGAGCCCAAAGTTCCTGGCCAGCAATGAGCATGAATCAAGGAACTTGCATTATATGTGCTCTTGAATCTGTTGTCTCCTTGAACCATACCTTGGGGTGGTGGTCAGGTTGCCATGGGATGCCCTTGGCTGCCCCTCCCTCTACCCAGTCTTACTTAAAAAGAGGCCCTTAGAACTCGACCAGCAGCCTCAACTTTACAAGTGCCTTGGTATGTACCTCTGGCAAATGTCTCACCTTGATGATGTTGCAGCCTTTCCTTCTGCCAGGGTGTACAACGAGGGCGGGGAGGGGGGTGAAAAGCTCTCCTAGGGAGTCACTGTGCACACTGACTCCACCGGCATTCCTGCCACCACGTATCAACCTGCAGCTCTTTTACAGTTCAACCTGATGGTAGAAACCATCCCTTCCAGTCCTCCCTTGGCTGTCCATCCAGTGCTCCCCTAAAAACCTTATTGACCAGGATGCCCAAGAAGCCATCATCCTCTCTCACATTCTGACCAGATCACTAGCCATGGAGGCCAGTGGAATTTCCCCAGGTCTTATTAAAACAAAGAGGGCATTGTGCTTCTCAGATTCCCCTTGGGAAAAAAAAAATAATTCTGCTGTGAAGATAAAAATGAAAAAGGAGAGAAAATACTGGAAAACTATTTTTCCCTCCTGTTTGCTTCCTTGCTGACTGCCAGCTTAGAGTGCCAAGAGGAGGTGTGATGACAACTATGGAGGCCCCCATATCTCTCTTTCCCTGGAGGATTTAGCAGGGGCACGAAAGCAGAAAGGGAATCTCCAGCTCTCTTGGCAGGGCCCTTGTTTAAGAGCACAGAGATGCCTGTGTCTCCCCAGTGCTCCTAAAGAGACTGCCAAAAAAGCAGTGGGGACTGCAGAAAAGCCCTGCCTTCCCAGGGACTGGCCAGGTTTCTCTCTTCAGTCCATCTGTAATAGGTGGTTGCCATTTTGGATGAAGGTAAAGGATGCTCAGAAGTGGCTGCCGAAACTTGTAGGGAGACAGTTACTTTTTAAGATGCATGTGTGTGTTTGTGTGCGTATGTATATGCTGATAAGCTGGGGGAAAGGGAGGGAAGTCCTGAAGTAAGGAAAGCATGCCTTAGAGACACTTGTGTCTTCCTGCCCTTTCCTCCAGATGCCTGGCAGAGGGGCTGAGTCTCACTGTTTTCAGTGTCATTAACCTAAAGAGAGAAGCATGAGAGGTCGGGACAGAGGCTCAGAAGGAGGCTTCAGCCTCTGCCCCACCTGCCCATCTCTGGGCCCCTCTGCTGATACTTGGTTGTTATTGGTGGGTGGGGAGAAGGATGAGGGTAGAGGGGTGGAGGAAACTGACTGGGATGCCATTTAGGGAAGAATGACTGGTCATCCCAGGTTCCTGGAGGGGACACCTTTTAATCTATTCTCTGGCACTGGCATTAAGACTCTCTCTCCAAAACAAAGCAAAAAAACTCTCTTTCCTTCCATCTCTGAAGTGTGTTTGTTTTGTGAAATGAGTGTTCTTGGATTAGAAATTCTGTGAGATCAGTCCTGATGATGGGGCTCTCAGGAAGGAAAAAGGAAATAATATGTGTCGTTTGTCCTAATAAAGTCTGGCCCTACATTTATCTCTCCTTTGTGTCCCTTTCATGCTGTGACTACAAGAGACTTGGTGGGGGAGGGGAGCATTTGGAGCCAGTCACCAGTCGATCAGTATTGCGAAGAGCTTTGGAATCACACATGCCAGCGTGAAAATCCCAGCTGCTGATTTGCAGCTGGACTCCAGCAAGCTCCTTAATCTCTGAAGCTTGGTTTTCTCATCTGTAAACTGAACCTAGTAATATCTACCTCATAGGTTGTTAAATGAGATACTATTTATAAAGAGTACAGCAGAGTGCCTGGGAAATAATAGTGTCATTAAATGGTTATTATTGTTATTATCTTCATTATTTTTGTTGCTATGTTGAATACATAGTATTTGAAAACCTGGGATGCTGAGGGATGGTTACAGAACTTGCCTTTATGGAGCTCACAGTCTACCTAAGATGATCAACTAAACCACATAGAGGAAACAATTAGAATAGAATGAAATAGGAATTCATTGATTATCAATTCTAGGAACTATAAGGCTCCAGGAAGTGATACATAGGAAAATACTAAATAGAAGAGGACAGACCTGACCTGAGCCTTAAAGAGTGGCTAAGGTTTTAGAGAAGTGAAGACCTCAAGGATGACACTGTGAAATAGGTCTGGGTATCCCCATTTTACAGACATGGAAGCTGAGTTCCAGGAAGTTTCTCTGACAGTGGGCAGCTTCTCACTGGCTTCTTTGGGTGAAATCTCATCTCTTTGGAAGAGCAAAAATGATTCTTGCTCCAAACAAAGGGTCCAGGGACCACTCAGTCCTTCACCAGCAAATGGGTACCATTTCCTAGAGGAAGAAACAAAGGCTGGGAAGAAAACAAATGGAAGTATTATCTGAACTACCAAGTGGTCTTGTCTATCAGGGCAGGAAAGCTCTTATGGGGACTTCCCTGGTGGTCCAGTGATTAAGAATCCATTTTGCAATGCAGGGGACTCCAGTTTGATCTCTGGTCAGGGAACTAAGATCCCACTTGCTGCGGGGCAACTAAGCCCACGTGCCGCAACTACCGAGCCCACGTGCCACAAGTAGAGAGAAGCCCACACACCGCAATGAAGACCCAATGCAGCCAATAAATAAAAACATATTTTTTAAAAAAAGAAAGCTCATGTAAACAGGGTTAGCAAAGAGGTCATAGAACACATCTTGTGACACCAGTGTTGAGATTCAAGGGTGTTCCTAACATCTGGAGTCTATCCAAGGGTAAGGTGCTCAGCCCAAATGTGCCTGAGCAGTCTAACTGGAAAATGCACCTGGGATCCATTTTTCTTCCTAGAAAAGAAGTAGAGAATCTCTTGGTTTTATAAACATAGCTATTAACATTTGACAGTTTGTGTAACACCGAGACTGCAAAAGCCAAGGGACTTATTTTATAGTGAGTAAGATTTCAACCTCATGTATCTACTCTCATTTTATTTCCTTTCCCTCTCTAAATGTCCACCACTAAAGAGGTAAGCTGAGTACTAATCTAATGAACACACTTTGGGTTGTAGGCTCCTACAGGCCCCTTTCCTTAATTTCCTTCCTCCAGTGCCAGATAAGACCAGAATTTCTACCACTAGTGTTTCACTCCTATGACTGAAGTGTTTAAGTGGTTAATGTTAATAACACTACTATGAAGAATCATATTATGAATGAGTTTTCAGATTTCTTCTTAATAGCAGATTTTGATAGCAGAGGGGAAAACGAAAGAACAAGGGCACCAGGTACTTGGCAGGTGTCTTGAAGGATTGCTTTCATGACGTAGAAATGAAGAAAACAGCAAGACTAAAGAGGGGAGCCAAAGATAAGGTGCCCACTTCCCAGTCCCCGGTAGATCCTGGAAGCGCCTGCATTTAAGTCCATGATTTGGCCCTTACTGTCCATGTATTGGACAAACAAATTTACAAATGACAGCTACGTAAATAGAACACGATCGACAGTTTATCCCCATTGGTCACCTGATGGTCAGCAGAGATGAGTATGGTCTATAGTTTTTTCTTGTCATTTCAATTGGAAAAGAGAAAAACTTGCATTCAACAAATATTTATTGAGCACCTACTTTGAAGTGGCACTCTGTTGGGCTTTAGGAATACAATTTTATAGAACAGGTACGGTTCCCTCCTTTTGGAGCTTATAGCCTAGTGGGGAAGACTCCCTCACAGAAGTAAATGAACAAAATAATTACAAATTGTGATAAGCGCCTAGAAAGAAACAGACTGGGGGGCGGGGTAGCTAATAAAGGTGGAGGGAGAGACCTTCTTCAGATAGGATGGGCGGAAAGACCTTTCTGAGGAGGTAATTTGAGGCTGAAATCTGAGCTGAGAAGAAGCCAGCTACTGATGAGTAGGAGAAGAACTCAGGTAGGGGAACGCAAGTTCCTTCCAGGAAACTGCAGAATCCAGCTGTCCCTGACCTCAATCTGGTCCAACATTTTTGAAAGACATAATTCAAGCAGCACCTAGATAGCACCTAAAACAACACTGTTGGGCACCAACTGTTGCAAAACACACCAAGCCTCAAGGGACAGAGAAGTCTTTTTGCTCAGAGAAGCAAAAGGAACATACAAAAGGTCTTAATTAAAACAACTAAATATCATATGTTAACATTCTAGAAAGCCCTATATGATGTTGCAACTATTATTTCCATCAGTATCAATTCCTGTAACATACTTGGGGCCTTCTAAACTAGGCCTGTTTCCTAGAGTCCAGGCTGGTAGGCAGAAGACTGTGTCCAAAGGGGCTCGGAAGGAGCCAGCAAGGCATGGTCCAGAGGAGCCTTGGCATCAGAGGAGTCAAAACAGCAAAACATCGAGTGCACAGAGAGGGGGAAGTGAGGAGGGAGGGGGAGCACATCCGCAGGGAAGCCAGGCTACAGCAGCCGTGCAAGACGCTGGTCGGGCAGGCCCCGCTGGGACATCTTTCCGCTGGATCTGGATTTGGAGCTAAACCTCCAGACTCAGAGGAGGCAGTTGACATGGGCAAAGCAGGGCTTCATCCTAGGGGCTGGATTACTAGGCGGACCATCAGGACAGAGTCTTGGACAGAGTACAAGGTGGGCGCACATTATCAGCCTCAGTAAGGTGCTGATAAAGTCATTGCCAGTAATATACATGATTTAATAGATGCCTTCAAAACCTTAAACCACAGGAAGGACCAATCGTGAGACTTCCAGGCACCTCAGCAAGCATGGTGGTGGGCAGGGAGATGATTTTTGGCCTGGAACCTAATATTGCTCTGAAATCACCCCAAGCTGGTATCTACTTCCTTCACCTACACATAAGGCCAGCACAGCCCTGGGGAAGTCATGGCTTGGACACAAGGTTTAAGTCCCCTCTGTCCCTTCAACCTTTTCCATTACCCCCATTCAAGACCCTTGTGTGAAAGGGCACCCGTACTTGCTAACAAGGGCTTCCTCAGAGAGCAACTGAGAGCTATGTGAGAACCCATTCAGGAGAGCGCATCGCCCTGGGCACTGCAGCCTGGCCACTGCTAAATCCCCTTAGGTGACAGCTGCTGTTCCAACAGGGGACGTTCAGGGCAGGGTGGAATTGCTTTATGCCTTCCTGGGACTCTTCTTCAAATGAGCGGGAATATAAATTGGAGGGGTTTAAGCTTACAAATGTTTGAGGTAAAATTCTGCATTCGAAAACCAATGTAAAAAATGTTTGGGGTGTGACTTGCTAGGGAAAAGTCCATTTTAAAAACCCTCATATTTTGATAATAATTATGAAGCACGCTTGTAGTTGTTAAGTGCTAACTCTTTTCTAGGTTCTGTGCTGAGATTTCATGAATTACCATTTCATCCTTACGCTAATCCTACAAGGTCAGCTGACCCCACTTTACAGATAAGGAAAAAGAGTCAGTAACCTACACAGCTAGTAGGCGGTAGAGCTGGGTTCCAAACACTCATCTCTCAGTCTACAGTGTGCTTCACTTAAATGCTTATCATATATTCTTAAGTAAAAAGGCGAGATACAAAATTGTATGTACACCATGATTACAATGAGTAAAATAGGTATTTATAAGAACAAAGACCTGAAAGGAACAAACAAAAATGAAAGCAGTTTTGCCAGTATGGTGGATCTGTGGGGGTGCTTTAATTCTCCTTATTTTCTAAACTATTTTAATATTATCATGCTATTTTTGTAATTAAAAAATTTTAATTATATTTATATTCAACCTTTGGTCTAAATTTGGTGTTCCCCTGGGGCGGCTGCCAGGAGCTGCCTCTCTTCGTTTCCGCAGTTCTCATGCCTGGGAACATTTTTCTTTCTTTGGGCTCTGACTGCCACCCTTAAATGGAATAAGATTAAGCAGGAGGCACCCACCCCAGGGTCTGGGCTACCGACCGTGTGACAGTGGATGGTCTGCCTCCGGAAATAGCTGAGCATCAGAGGGAGGGTGGAAGGCACCGTGCGCACCCATGAGCTCCTGCACACCCTCAGTGTGGTGGGTGTGGACAGTGTCCGCTCCACGTCAGGTCAGGGCCATGAACCATGCACTGTTTGGGTGGTTTAGAAGGATATCAGCGGGAGAGAAGCCTGCCCTCAGATGCTCAGACCTAGTAGGAGAGGAGAATGGTGCCAAAGCCCAGGGGACAAGCTCAGTATGGTAAGCACGAGAAAAGCAGCAGTGCGGTTCTCAGAGCAGGGAGGGGACCTCGGGAGAGGGAAAGCTCGGGGAAAGCTTCACAGAGTAGGTGCTGCTTGAACTGGGCTGTGAGAAATGAATAAGGTTTTATTGGGCTGGCCAAAAATTTCGTTCGGGTTTTTCTGTAACAGCGTATGGAAATACCCGAACGAACATTTTGGCCAGCCCAACATTACATAGAGAAAGAAGACTTTCTAGTGAGAAGAAATAGCGTGGTATGTTCCAGGAGCTGGGAGGAGCTGAGAGGGGAACACTGGGGGAGATGAGGGCAAGAGGTGGGAGGATTCTTGAAAGTGTGCCTTTCACCTTGTAGGTGGTAAGGAGCTATGGAGTTTCTTCGGGCATCTGGGGAGTGGGGTGATCAGTTCCTGAGGTCGCCTATGGCAGCAAGACGCTGCGGAGGGAAGACCCTGGAGGCTGATTATCCACGAGGCTCCCTTTAATCTGGGGATGAAGTGAGGGGATACAGACAGAGCCTCAGCCATTGGGACTTGGTGACTGGTGAGGAATGGGGTGAGGATGGTGGTAGGAGAAGGAAGCCAGAGATAACTAAGAGGTTTCAGGTCTCTGTGAACATTTATTCATTTATTAAACAAAATTCACTCCAGGAGAGGGTAATGGGTATATTAGACCACTTTTATGTATCACTTCAGATCCTCTCAGTCTTACCTGCCTCTTATTCCAGCTGCCCGTGGGTGTGGACCAGCTGCACACAGGAGCATCTGACCTCCCTCCAGGGTGCACCTACTGACACAGTAGTAGAGATCTGC